GTTTAAAGTATATCAAATCCAGAAGATTGCTATTGGAGAAAGAACAAACTGAAATTTTATTTAAAAAGAAAAAAGTTTAAAAGTATCTAACTGAAATAGTAATAATAAATAGCGCTCGACTGTTGATGTAGTGTAAGGTTGCGGGGCAAAACCCAACTTCTACTTTGGCAAAAGTCGAAACCTTTCGATTTCGATGCCTGTCGAAACCTCCGGGTTTTGCCCGGCAACCTTAATGTAGTGTACCCGTTTCAAGAGACAAACACAAGAATCAAGCAATTTTTCAGCAAAGTCGTGAAGAAACAGGACATTGAACCCTATACGGATTATTTGACTATCACCACGAAGTATAAATCAAAAGATAATTAGTTATCGTTAAAAAAAAAAAAATTTAAGGATAAATTAATTATACAGTATTTACTTTTTATTGGTCGCCCTCCGCAAATTCATCTTCCCACCTTCCTCTTCGTTCTCTAAAACGAGCAAAAAATTATAACTGTAATAAAAATCTTAGAAATCAAATTTTTAAAGATAGCTTTACCTTGTAAAGAATCTCTAGCTCTTTTTCATCTGAGAGCAGCTCGTAGGGCGGAGGTTTCTTCTACCTCCTGATTGACCACCGCTCGCAGAACTCTCTTCTTCAAATATATACTTGAAGTACGCCATATCATTTTTCGTTTTCTGCAAATACACTTTCGTAGGACGGGTTTTCGTGATATTCTATCAGAATTTCTTTCTGTTTTTGCTACTGTTATCAATAATATATATATTATGTTACATTAAAAATTATAACATTCTTTATTGAAGAGATTATTCATTTTTTTTAACACAACAATATTTTACGATTTATTTAAATTATTTAATTGAAAAAATTTATTAAAAACATTAATGAATTTGCTTTAATTAATAAATAGGCAGGGTTTTTAGGAACATTAAACGAGAAAATTTAGGCTTAATTTTCACGTTTAAATTTTCCCTAGGTTGGACGACGAGACCTCTAGTACCTTCACAGCCCAAAAAAACATTTTAGTTCCAGCCGAAATTTGGTACGAACTGGACCTCGCTACTCATGGACTTAAAGTGTTTAGAGTCCCATTCCTCAAGACAAAAAAAAAAAGAAAAAGAAAAAACGCAAAATAAAATTAAAAGAAATTAAAAATAAATGTTTATAAATAAGATAAAAAAAAAATTGAAGCAAAAAAAAAAGCAAATAAAAATAAAAAACAATTTATAAGAATAAGAGATATAATAGTGATACTATGTTCGGCTTGCTCCCAGGCTGTATGTGCGTTATAATAATCTTCCTCCACTTTGATTACGACCGATTCTTGTTTCGGTTTCTCTTTATTGTAACTCGCGTAGAGTCAGCAACGGTTTCGGCTCATATGGTGGGGTGGTTGATGGCTTCTTCAAAAAATAAAAAAACATTATAAGTATAAGAGATATAAAAGTAATAACAAATTTTGAAATATTTATAATGCATGCATACTTCGGCTTGTGTGCATAAAATGGGTGGTAGGCTATTAAAATCAAGTTACTAACATATGATCCATAACATGATTTTGATAGCAAACCACCCAAATAATCTTCTTGCACTTGAATTTTGCCGATTCTTGCATCGGCGTTTCTGTATTCTATCTCACGAGGAGTCAGCAACGGTTCATATGGTTGG